GCCCCAAATAAAGAGGACTGTCCCCCTTCTTCTGAGCTGTGCACAGAAGATTATTCTGATTCAGAGTGCTCAGATATTGTCATTTCATCAGACGATGAATCTTAGACTATGATATTTTTAGTTTTGTGTCCTGGTCAATTGGTCGTTTTATTTTCAATTTTACAAATTCGTTTACATTAACCTCACAAACCTTACAAAAATCCTCGGTCAAATCCTCGGTAAAATCGTCAAATTTCGCCGAGGCCGAGGAATTTCGAATCTATTTTTGACCGAGGCCGAGGCGAACCGAGGAATTGTCCTCCTGACCGAGGCCGAGGCCGAGGCCGAGGAAAAATCGCCATTCCTCGGTAAAACCGAGGCCGAGGCCGAGGACTCGGTCGACCCTTGGCTTCAACAAACAACAATAACTACGTCTGAGCATACAACCTTCAAATTCAATCCACCTACTTACTTAGATGCGACAGTGCAACATTTAAATTTTCATTGCCACAAATTCATACACAATACACACTACACAGCACGTCAGCATACCATTACACTGTAAATTATGCTAGCACTAGGGTTTTACTCTACAAACAAAAAAACAAACTAGAAAATCTGTGCCATTTTCCCCTAATAAAAGGTGGTCGATTATCGCGATAAGTCTCGAAAATTATCGCGATAATCGATAACGATTTTTGGAGAATTATCGCCGATAATTATCGGCCGATAATATCGGCTGGCAACCCTAGTGGTGTTCTTACAGGTTCACTCAGAGGCCCAATTTTCCACTCTCTCCTGACTCTGGTTAGGCAGTCAGAGATATCCCGTGTATTTAGCTACACGATGTGGTTTTAACCGTATTTGCCAGTGCAAATAGTCCAACTAATTGTTTATCATCACTTCGAGATGGCCAGGCCTACTCTCATGCTGTCTATAGGTGATTAGAAAATATCACCTATAGACAGCATGAGAGTAGGCCTGGCCATCTCGAAGTGATAATAATAATTAAATGTTTCGCAGATTGGCAATTGATCGGTGTGGTTGGTGTTGTACACACTGCACTGATAATGATATCACGTTGAACATGTAATGTAAATATAGTGTGGATACATGCGAATATATATTCTAAATAACTAATTGTTTATCAGTTTAAAATATAATAAATATACGAAAGAAGGTGCGCCAAGTTGGCCGAACGAATAAATATGGTGTCAAGGTAGCCAGGATCACAAAAATATATTTAGAACAATCGAAACAGCATTTCAAAAGAAGTGGGGGGGGGGGGCAGGCATTATGTTTCATACAAGGTAATCATCATTACCTTGTAAATCATGAATACCTTGTAATGAAGTTCCTTACAATCAATAAATATATTTATTAAGAATGGCAGTACAAGGCCTTACATTATATCACTGGTCAAAAGTCATTAGATAGTATAATAATTATACAATTTACAAAAAATCCAATGAAGGAATTCGATATAAAACGATAAGAGTAAACTAACAAACCTGCAGATTTTGTTGCTGACAGGTGGCTGGATCTTTCTTTTTTTAGCTCGCATGGCTTCCAGATTCTTTTCAAACTCGTGTTTTTTAGACATTCTTTTGTTATTAATTGTTACTAATCAATTCATTGTCACCTAATTATAAGGCTTGCACTCACTCATATAAGAGCTTGGTTATGTTGACACAGCATTGAAGAGCATCGGATACAAGGATACAAGGATACAAAAGTGATAATTATTTTATTGAATTCACAATAGTTATAAATCTGAAATAATTTAAGATTTATAACTACACAATTCGAGTTATTAACAAATGTGCAGGGATAAAATAGAAATGTTTTATAATACTATTTTTCTATTAATAGATCGGATTTGTAGATTTCGATCTTATTTTGAGGTCCTATAGCATTATGCATTGGCCAGTATTTGAGTGGAAATCTGGGCTCTTATAGTAGGCTGTAAATTGTTCGTTCACAGAGAGAATTGTTCTTGCTGTGGCAGTAAATTTTGTAGGGTCTAGTGTTTTATCGGATAGCAAACCGGCTAGGTCAGTAATATTTTTGGGGTGGAAGTTAAATTTTTCTCTAACTGAGGAGTAAAGTAAAAAGTCAGCTAGAACATGATTTTCGTCCTCAATAGGCTTAAGCCCCGTGCTGAAAAAGCAGTAAGTGCACCATCGATGTTCTCTTGGTACTAAGGGGCTTTCGTAACGGCCCCTCTCAATGTAAAGATTGTGGCACGAAACCTTGTTAAGCTTTTCCGAGCATCAGGGATCTTAACCACTCCTAAGTATGTTTCTGGTTCAAAATCATGTTTAATTTGATTGTAGAATTCTAATTTAGGTGAGGATGCCTTGGCAGATTTCCAGGTATCCACAAATTCTTCCCTATATGTTGTGACTGATTTGGGTAGAGAGCTTGGATTTTGAAGAGGATGAGTGGGGGAAGTTATATTTGGTGAGAAGATTGGAGATGTTGGTGTACCAAGGAAGGCCCAGCATAATCTGCTCGTGAAATGCAGCGGAGAGAAGTTCATTTTCAGTGCTTTCAAGGCGACTATAGAAATCTATTGCAAGTTTGCAGTCTTCAAAGAAGAGGGGGTTGCGCCCACTTTCGCCCCAGCAGCCTATATTTGATGCTTTTGAATGGACAGACAAGGACCACTTGATAAACTTAAGGTGGAATCTTTCATAGTGGTCTTGTGAGATGTACTTGAGAGTATGCTGGGGGTTGGCTTTGCTATCTGTTTTGGAGAGGTATCTCATGGTTTTTGAGTGGGGACATAAGATTTGGCAGCCATAGAGCAGGATCGGTTTTATAAGAGAGTCAAATAGAATGTTTAGGGAACGGTGAGAGAGGGCATCTTTAACGATATTGCCTTTGAGGCCATAGAGAGCCCCCTCCCCTTTTGGTGCCTCTCCCTAAAATTGAACAAATTAGGTGATTTTAGAGGATACGCCGGTAAAATCTCTAAAAAAGTGTGTATATAGAGCAAAACGCGCAGTTTTGCTAGTACTTAAGTTCAGTTTTCGAAATTGTCCCACATTCAAACGACGATTTGGCGCCCCCCTAAGAGGGCGCCCCCCTGCACAGCGGGGTCAGCGGGGCCCTTCGTTACTGCACCACTGGCTGGCCTCCCAAAATGAATGTTTCATAGGATTGTTTTCTTTTAGGAGGGCAGAATATGAGAATCTTGGTTTTTTTAATGTTTACTTCAAGGCCCATAGAGTTACAGAAGTCGAATAGGATGTTGATATTGTCTTGCAAGGCCTTTGGACTTAGGGCAAGTAGGACAACCGACAAGATCGTCAGCCCAGAGCAGATGTGATATTAGGACGTCAGCTAGAATAGGATAATTTCATCAACAGATTTTAGGAGAGATGACAAGTCGTTGATATAGATTTTTAAAAGGTCCGGCGATAGGGGGTGTCGCTGCTCTGTTCCTTTTCCAATGTCAATATTAGGGGACAAGAGTTTGTAGATTTTAATATGAGTTATTCAGTTTCTATACATATCACTTAGGCAATTGAAGAAGTTTCCAGTTATTCCAAGGCATGTGATTTTGTGCAGAAAGAGGTCCCTACATACAGTGTCAAAGGCCTTTCTTAGATCAACAAAGCATGCTATAGAGGCGAGCTTTCTTAACCTTGGTATATTTGTCAATGACTGTCTTAAGGGTAAAAACGTGGTCATTTGTTTGAGCACCCTTCGAGAACCCTAGTTGTTCTTTTGGGTCAGGGCAGTAGAGCTTTTTGAAGTGCAGGAGACGCTCAAGTAAGATGCTAGAAAACAGTTTACCCATACAGCTACCAACAGCTATTGCTCTGTAGTTATCCGGGCTGTAGTTATCCGGGCTGAAAGGGTTGCCAGACTTGTAAATAGGAGTAATGATGCTGGTGTGCCATGGAAAGTAACTGGAGACCAGTGAGTGGTTGAAGTTTTTGAGGATGGCTTTGAGACAAAGCGGAGTTAGGCTCTGAAGCATCTTGTTGGATATCAAGTCGTTTGAGCAACTTTTACCTTTTTTTGAGATTTTTGATGGCAGAGGTCACTTCAGATTCTGACATGAGCTTATTTAGGGACCCCAGATACACTAGGGACCCCAGATACACTAGGGACCCCAGATACACCTTACTAGACGTATTTTTGACCGTAGAAACGATTAAAAGTAGTTTCAAGATGACTGGACTGATTTACTCGGTTAAAATTGCAAAAAAACGATTTTTGGGCCAAAAATAGGCCAAAAAACCATGTTTTTTGATATTTTAAGCAAGATAATTTTGTTGTCATGTCAGCAACATTTGCATGGAAATAGATTAAATATAGCCGCACAAAATGATATAAAAATAAAACAAATCCCTTTATTTTTACTTGGGCAAAGGTCCAAAAAAGTGTTAAAAATTTTGACTTTTTTGCGCGCATTTTATTTTGGGTATTTATATTCTATATTTTGAAAATATTTTAACACATATCTGTAATATCAACTAATTTAAATATATTAAATATAATTTTGACCAAAAAATTCATTTTTAATAGAACCAAAAGTTTAGGTGCGCCGCGCATATTTTCGAAAATTTACACCGTGGTATGAAAATCGAGCGCTAAAGCAGATACTGTCATATTTTCACAAAAATACCTATGTTGTTTTTTAGTGTTATTGTTGCATTTCGAAACTCCTTTTCACCCTATTAAGTTATCTTTTTGATGTGTAATTTGATTACTAATTATGTTTTCATGTATTCTCTTGGGTGTGGAGTACCCATTTATGATTTTTTTTTGTAAGCATATTGTCCGGAAGTAGAGTCAGGAAAATTGAGATTATCATTACATGTTCATTGCTCCTGTAGCCTTTTCTTTCAATCAATTTTCTCAAGGTTTGACACTGGTCTGTAGTTTTTCAAGACATTTGGAATATGATCTTCGTCGATTGAAGAATATTATTTAATATCCTTTATTAAATAATTGTGGACACTGGCTGATAATCAGTGAAGGCAAAATCGTGGATTATACCTGATAACTACTGGTGGTGTTATGGCTATTAGAGGGGTGTTAGAGGGCTGGGCTAATACCGTAACAGCTGGCTACTAGCATGGTGTTAGAGGGCTGTTAAGACTTTTTGAGAGCACAGATACTTAATAGTAAGTAATATCTTGTCTGGATGTTTGAACTTTTCGATTTGTATCTCGAAAGTTATGTTTAACTTCTCCACATAGTGTTTGAAATGTATGATATTGTAAGATGTATTATGTCATTATTTTATATCTCCTCAAAGGCTACTGGACAACTGAACCCAATTTGGACTTTTCCTAGACAGGGTAGCTTGGGAAAATAATTAAAAACCCAATCAGTCTACCTAATTAACTTTGAAACGACAACTGAACCCAATCGTCAGTTAGAAATAACTAAAAGATAAACATTTTTCAAAATACCGCTCTAGTTTAACTTTAAGTTGTCAGGATCGTGGGAATGAGGTTTGGCACCGCTGGCCAAGGACTGATCTCCATGGTCAAGGATTACATGAGCAGGACATTTCTTGATTCTGTACCTCTGGCATCTCCAGGTAGAGGTAGTAGGGTATCTCGATCCTTTCTCCGGGTGTTGAGGAAACCCTCTGTGTCCAGACTCCAGAAGTAGTTGAGCTCCTCTTTGTCAGCGGATGTACTTGCTGAAGACAATCATAATTGGATTCTGCGACCACCATCTCTCTTTCTTATGTATTGAACCGATCTGTATAACAAGCGTACTAATATAGATGACAAGGTCTCAGGTGCCTTTCGATCGCGAGATCTGATCTAACAAGCTTACGTGTTTACAAAGCGTGCCGAAAAGGATACGATCCTCAAACATCGAGATCCGACCCAAGGCTCGAGATCTGAACCATGTCAGGCCCTCCCAAAGCATCAGAAGACACGAGATCTGAACCAAGTAACCTGAGCCTAGTATCCAGCGTGCTAATGGTGCGTTCCATCAGCTTTGGAAGATATGGAACAGTAGAAGTATAAGAACGCCCACCAAAATAGTGCCTTTTGATGATCTACATTATATAGTAGGGTATTAATACTGTTAAAATACCTTCTGCATTACCAAATAACAAATAATGAAGTTGAATATCATCAAAATATTGTGTGCAACTAGGACATTATTGCAAAGTAATTTGTGATATTGCTTTGTCCCATGAATAATTTCACAACATGAGAACATAAAATATAGGTATATCAAGTCATGGATTGTCCAGTATGGATGGGAGACGAAGATCTGAGACAGATTCAAGAGCATCCAACTATACTTGCAGCGAGATTACTTCACTCCTGCCAAAGAAGTTCCCCAACTACAGGGCTTATTCAGAATGCACTGTAAAAAGGTATAATGCAGACAATGAACATTGTAAATTAATGGAAATCGTGTTTACTGTTGAATTTGTCCATTACTACATGTGTGCTCATAGATGCAATGAACGAGGGTCTAATGCGGGGCGCAATTTTGTTATATTTACATAGCAAAATTGCTCGCGCCCCTATTGGACCCTCATTCAATGTGCAGTTCAGTTTTGTTATGTCAATGTAAAACGTTGCAGAATTGCGCCGTGCATTTAACCCTTATTGGACCCTCCTTCATTACACTCATGAGCACACAAGTGCGTTTAAGTCTAGTCAAGATACTATGAACATATCGAATGGGTTTTGAATTTTCATGTTTCTGACGAAAAACCTTCCACTCCCTCAGCCCTCTACGATGTACCTCACTGGTATTTGAATTAAAGATTAACACTGAAACTTATACTTTACCAAATGACCACATATTAAAAACAAAAATCTGTTGTGCATATGTGTACACAATACACATGGATTGATTGAGTAAAACAAAAAATTTTCAGTAAAACTAAAAGTTTCACTAATAAGTGCTTTGCAGAATGCTGAATCACTGGAACATTAAACGACACAATGATGTTGATGATCATACTTTGCTGACGGCGGTACAGAATGTTGTTAACGAAAGTTCGGGTCAATTAGGATACCGGGATGTGACTGAAAAACTAAGGTACACTAAAAAGGGCATATTTTTAGTGTTCATGTAACAAGTTAAAATATTTAAACACGTCAATGAAAAAAGGAGTAAACATTTTTATAATAATTGAGGCGCCTTGAAGTAGTATTAAAACAATGGCATCACGATGTTAAGGAACGGTATAATGCATATTATATGTGTATATATACACCTTATTTATCAATATCCAGTATATTCACTGTTCTTTGTTGCAGGTCTCAAGGCCTCTTCGTATCGAGAGATGATGTTATGAATACACTAAGGTTAGTTGATCCACAAGGTGTTGTTATGCGCACTCCAAAGTTCAAGAATAAGAGGCCTAAGAAGACCTTCTTCAGCAAGGGGCCAAACTACTTATGGAGTCTGGATGGCCATGACAAGTTAAGTGGGGATGCCAACTGCCAATTCGACCTCAAAATATATGGGTATGTTACATTTCTTGTTTGTGTGAAAACATGCTATTGCTGAGCTCTAATTGTTTTTATACCATCCCACAACTTATAAATTCCTTCGTGATGTTTTGAAAGGGGCGGGATGGCTCATAAGGGGCGGGATTAAACGGGTAATCCTACTGTCAACATCAGCTAGAAAGATAACCCTGCTGGGCATTCCCGGGCGCATATCAAGTGTATCTTGTATAACCATGATTGAGTGTGTGCACGGTGCACCTGACTGAAAATTGTCACGTAACATGAGCGCACACACTACGTGATGAGATTGAGTGCATCATCTGACAGTATGGGAACACAGCATTGGATAAGATTTCCCCCTTATCAGCCAATCAGTTATATCACTATACTGTAGTAATTAGGTCGGGCGATATGCTAGCGTTATTAATTCTTTTTCATTTTTCACAGGGCCCTTGATACTTACAGTAGGAAAATCATGTTCTTGTACATTGGGCGGTCTAATAGAGACAGTGAAGTTATTGGACGTATTTTGTTTGACCATCTGCTGGAATCTAGAGTTTTACCGCAAATGCTTCGATTTGACAAAGGAACTGAGACCGTCCATGCTGCAGCTGTACACGTAAGTTAATTTTCCAAGGCGTTTTTTATATATTCTACTGCCTACTGTCCCTGTGCCATGTCTGCTACAAATGCTGTTTCCATATTAAATTTCAATACGTACCTTAAAGCTATGGTGTTAGACCGCAGGATTCTGCTTGTTTTCACTCTTGTTTTTCAGAAAACTCTATTGCAACTGAAAAATGTTGACAAGGAGATTACAACGATACTTGGTCCTTCTACTGCCAACAAAATAGAACGATTGTGGAGGCAGGTAGGCAATAGTTGGAGTGAAATGTTTGATAAATCTGGTTAAATCTTGCTCACTTCTTAGGTCACAACTGTTTTCAAAACAATTATTTGTCGACAAGAAACAAACATAGGCAAAGCAAAGTCCGTTTCCTTACTTATACCATAGTTTGTCCCCATTTTCCAAGTAAAAAATGCTGACAGGTCCGCAAAAAGGTTTGTGATGGTTTTCGTCACGTACTTAGAGAGATTGATCAAGACGGTCTGTATGATTCAAGTTGCGAGTATGACAGGGATTTAATTGCTGGTGTGTTCATACCTGTTGTCGAACGTTATCTCGACGAATTCAGGGAGAACCATAACAATATGAGGTAGGATTATAAATTTATAGTAAACTGCAATACGAAATTACTGAAAACATTCAAGAATAGAAACAACATATAGGATGTCTTTAAAGGCCCCATGTAGCCGGTGGACCCGACATGATACGACATATCTCGACACGTCGGGGTTTGTCGGGGTTTGTCGGGGTTTATCGGGGTTTGTCGGGGTTTGTCGAAGTTTGTCGGGATATGTCGGGGTTTGTCGGGGTTTGAAATTATTGGGCAAACTGACATAATCCGACATACCCTGACATATCTCGACACGTCGGGGTTTGTCGGGGTCTGTCGGGATATGTCGGAGTTTGTCGGGATATGTCGGGGTGTGTCGGGGTTTTTCGGGGTGTGTCGGGGTTTTTCGGGGTTTGTCGAGCCTGGAGGCTACATGAGGCCTCTTTAAGTGCATATCTAATAATCTAATAAATCTGTTCAGGGGAAGAAAGCAGCGCAACGTGGAACTTCCATCAGGAACAATTCCTGAGCATGTGTATTCGTGCCCAGAAGAGTACGGCGGAGAGGTTAGTTTGATTAGATCAAATGAATTATTCTTTACTAAAAACCGTCAACAGTGTTGGCTAACGCAATCAGATAAATTAGCAAACAAAAACAACCCAATTATAGCAATACAAACTAGCAGACAGAAAACCTATTATCTGGGCCCAATTATTATTTATTTTCCCCTCTCATATTAATTATCAGGTATTATTTATCATTCAGGAGTGTGGAATCATGCTTTCTGATAAGGATATAGAGAGTTTCACTGACGCTGATATTTTGTCCAACGTTTTTACTGGTATTAAAATTAATTCAGAGTTGGCGTCTGAATACCTCGTTGCTGCTCTCCCTCGGATAGCAGTAAGTGTCTTCAAATGCATCCTACTTCCCCTCTCATATTAATTGTTATCGTTTATCCACGTATATATATATATATATCTTACTCCGATGACTGGCTATGAACACGTAATAATGACTGGCTATGAACATGTAATAGTTAGGCAACGTTTTTGCTAAAATATTTACCCGTTTCAGGAACTTCAGTTAAGTGGGGTTAAAGCGGAATACACACGAATAAGGGAAGCGGTCTATCGAGATACCAGATTTTGATAATTTCCGTCTCGTTGAAGCCGAGATTTTATTAAAGAACGTTTAGTTATAAATATCGTAAAAAAGCTTCTGTTGGTTTTTGTACTGTTTTTTCTTCGGTACACCCAGCCATATCCATACAATCGTGTTATAAGGATTTCAAGTTAACTTGAAAGTTTAAATGTTAAACTCCGTAAATTATAAAGTTGGTATAATTCTTTTCTAAGGATTAGAATACGAAGTAAGTTATTATGATAAAATGTTTGTTTCACTGCTAACATCATCTTACAAAATATAAAAACCCAAGTAATCTCTCTCTAACATTCAATTTTTAACATTAAATTTTAACATTGACTTCTTTTTAGCAGAACTACAATGTTTTGTTAAATTATAACATTTACTTGATTGATTTAACATTTACATGTACTTGGTTGGTTAAACACCTTTAAACCTCGGTTAAACGCATGAAATTGATTTTTAGATTTTTAACATTCAATTTTTAACATTAAATTTTAACATTAAATTTTAACATTAAATTTTAACATTGAATTCTTTTTAGCAGAACTACAATGTTTTGTTAAATTATAACATTTACTTGGTTGTTTTATATGTGGGTTTGATTCTTCTGTTGGTTTTTGTACTGTTTTTTCTTCGGTACACCCAGCCATTACCCATAAAATCGTGTTATAAGGATTTCAATTTAACTTGAAAGTTTAAATGTTAAACTCTGTAAATTATAAAGTTGGTATAATTCTTTTCTAAGGATTAGAATACGAAGTAAGTTATTATGATAAAATGTTTGTTTCACTGCTAACATCATCCTACAAAATATAAAAAGCCCAAGTAATCTCTCAACTTTGAACACAAATTTATCTGTTAAAAACTGCTCTAAAATGACTAAATTGTGTTTTTGTAAACCACACTAGCATACAGATTTGTCCGGCCAATGGGGCCGGGCAAGATGCTGAACTCAATCTCAATAACCTAATGTCTGCAGTCGTTTTCAAGCACGCTTAAATCACACGTCAAATACAGGAGTTTATCGGTATGCCATATATATTTCACCTGAGGACAATAATAGGTGGATAATAATAACTGGATCAGACTACACGTGAGGGAACAATAAGCACGCGTTAGCGCGATCGCCATCTGGTACAATTGTAGACATCTGCGCGCGCGCAACGTACGTTCTTTGTGGCGCGCAGTGAGGACTGCTGATGGCACATTTCGGCCATATGGAGCGATTTCATTTTTGTTTTGAATTTTTTTTGGTTTTTTTTTTAATTTTTTTTTGTTTTTTTTTTTGTTTTGGTTTTTTATTGTTTTAAATTGCTTTTTTTTTTTGTTTTTTTTTAGTTTAGTTTTTTTTTTTTTTTTTTTTTATTTATTTTTGGTTTATTTTTTTAAAGTTTGGTTATTTTTTGGTTTTTTTTGGTTTTCTAAATTTATTTTGAAATAATTTACAATGACCCACCTCGGCCACCATAGGGAGAGTACGTGAGACACTTTAGTATCACATTTGGGTCAAAAAATGATCAATTAAACCACTTACCACCGGCCGATTTAAAAAACCTTAATCATTTGGCTTGGTCAGAGCTTTGTCGGCACTATACCGAAAAAACCAGCCCCGAAACTCTTACTGTTTTCTTGATTAAGCCGTTCGGAAATTATACGCGAACGATCACACATCTTGAGATTATTAGTATAGATTATGCCTTGACCTAAATATGTATAATAAAATATGAGCCACAGTTCTTTCTTCTACCTAAATCTCCACACAAAATCCTGCATCGTAAAAAACTTGTTGAAAACGGTTTATAGAAATCATCAGCCACAACTTACACTAAATACATACAGTAAAACCCCTTATACTGGGTGGGAGAAAGTGCAAGTATTATGGAATACTCGTGTATCTGTACACATATGGTACACACTTAAGCACTTCACTCCAGGGTTGTCTAAATATTGCATATTATATGTTTTTGTTGGGTGGTGTATATTGCGATTAGAGCTTGGATGTTTCGGGGGTATCTAGGGCCTGGGTAGTTTAGCGGTTATAACACCAGTCCGGATAGCTGGAGGTCCCGGGTTCAATTCCCAGTCCAGTCCCAGTGCCTTGATTTTTCCGATATGCTTGTTCACTAATTCAGATGCGAAGTTTGAGCTCTATTCGCAATATACACCCAGTGCCTTGATTTTTCCGATATGCTTGTTCACTAATTCAGATGCGAAGTTTGAGCTCTATTCGCAATATACACCACCGAACAAAAACAGTAAAACCCCGATATACCGCGCCCCGATTTACCGCAAACCCTGGTATACCGCGGCCATTTCCTTTCTCCCAAATAGGGCTAAACATACATAATGTAAACCAAACAAAACCCCGATTTACCGCGGCCCCCGATATACCGCGGATGTTTTCTTTCCCGCAGTAAATCGGGGTTTTACCGTATAGTACTAAAACAAACTACAAAGTATCGGCACGTAGATAAAGAATATGAGAATAAAATATAAAAGTTCATAAATTCTGATAACAAGTCAGAGTGCGTGTAGAACGCATATAACTTATAAGGCTCTAGCTCTCACTAACACAATTAACTTTATTGTCTCTGATAAAATAACGCTTGCTATTGTCCTGCTTTATTAGTTCTTTTATCTGTTTGACAAGTCCACTGTGTAGCCTTCTCTGCTCTTTTGTCCTATCCGATGCAAGATAAACTGACTTAAAATCTACATTTGTTAATATAAGTTTGTGTGTGTTCCTTAGTATAATGTCCACATCGCTAGAACTTTCAAACTGAACTTTGATTGGTCGCGTTTTGGGATAACGTGCTAAATTGTCAAGTTTTGGGTGACTTACTGCCTCTCGTGACAGCAATTCTAGTTATTTCTAAGATGACAGTTATATAATTTAAATGTTTTTATTCCAAATTTGTTTTTTGAAAGATACGGTTAAATTGCCAAAAAAAAGCGAAGATGCATTTTCCATTTGTTTCATTAACATACTAACGAATTCAGAAGAAAATAAAGTAGAACAACTAGATTTGAAATATATTCATGGGCCTTTTCAAAAACTTATCGATATGAGAAAGTTCGTGATTTGGATAACACCGTAGTAAAAAACATTGTCGTACTTTGAATCATAATGTTTTCTGTAATATATCTGTGGCGTCTCTAGAACTTTTCTAGTATAATATGTAATGTAAGCCGGGCATCCTTAACAGTTAACACTAATCCCCGATTTTCAGGGAATTTTCTGGAACTAAACCACGAGATCCTGGAACGTTACTCCGCATGCACCACAGCAGCTGAGGTTATAGAACAACAAAACGAGCACATGAAATTCATAGAACAGGAATCAATGGATAGAAAATCTCAGGATATGACAGAAATTGACTTTAGTGTAGAAATGTGTAATCCCAACCGACAGACTGTCCCGGAATACAGTGAATCTTCTGAAGATTACGAGTCTTCTGAAGAGGAAGAGGAAGAGGAAGAATCAGATTCAGAAGAGAGCGCTTCTGAGTCTGAAGAGAGTGTGAAAGTGGGGGAATCTTCCGTGGAACCAGATCAGGTGACCGCAGATCACGTGACAGAAAAGCTAAATTCAGTGACGTTTTTAGACCAAGATGAAGTTTATGATATTTAATTTTACTTTTAGTGGGAATGAAATGATTTGATTTTTATAAAATACGTTTCAAAATTTTACTGGGTTGACCTATTTACGAATATACGATGAGATGGGCTAGAATTTTGCCCCAACTGTAAAATACGCGTACGTTGTGAGATTCTTTTTGAATTTTTCGATAATTGGTTGTTAACATTATTAATTAATATTTATTCTTTCTATTTTCGTGCTATGTTCTTTCTTGTCACTATTGTGATAAAGATTCTAGACCAAATCAGGCGGGTATTTCCTATAGCTCTGAAGAGGTGTTGGAAATGGCGAAAAATCTCATTTCACGCCATTCCATATAATATCATGTATTCAACTTTTTTACCTTTATATTTTTTAGCTATGTTATGAGCGATAATTAAAGAATTCCTCACATAAAGATACGAGTTTGAGGACTTCTCTACACATGATAAACTTAACAACTTGCTGAAACAACCAGACACGAACAGGAATCACCCCTGTAACCGTATCATTAAGAAACAACCAACTTTCTTGGGGGAAGATTTTTAAAACCAAATCACCTTTACCCCAAGAAAGCCCCTATATCTCGATAATCCTCAGCTCAACAGAGAAAATAAGACGCTATCCGCTCACAAGTTGCCATACCACCCTGTGTAAACACAGAGGCTACCATTCTGTAGTTGAGCCCGGTAAGATGATGCTCCAGAACAGGATGGTGGTGTTGGTGCTATCTGTCTTATCTTCTCTTATATTGCTGTTCTGGATTGGGTTTGATTCTTTGGTCTCTGGGGGTACCTATACCTATCAGGTGAGGTTGAGGTGTATTACTATGGTAACTAGTAGTGTAACTATGGTAACTAGTAGTGTAACTATGGTAACTAGTAGTGTAACTACTCTGGGGGTACCTATACCTATCAGGTGAGGTTGAGGTGTATTACTATGGTAACTAGTAGTGTAACTATGGTAACTAGTAGTGTAACTATGGTAACTAGTAGTGTAACTATGGTAACTAGTAGTGTAACTATGGTAACTAGTAGTGTAACTATGGTAACTAGTAGTGTAACTATGGTAACTAGTAGTGTAACTATGGTAACTAGTAGTGTAACTATGGTAACTAGTAGTGTAACTATGGTAACTAGTAGTGTAACTATGGTAACTAGTAGTGTAACTATGGTAACTAGTAGTGTAACTACTCTGGGGGTACCTATACCTATCAGGTGAGGTTGAGGTGTGTTTGGCACCTCCCCAAACAAAATTCAAATTTTATTGATCCGTCAGTTTTCGTGCTTCTTTGTCACAATCTCTCTCTCTCTCTCTCTCTCTCTCTCTCTCTCTCTCTCTCTCTCTCTCTCTCTCTCTCTCTCTCTCTCTCTCTCTCTCTCTCTCTCTCTCTCTCTCTCTCTCTCTCTCTCTCTCTCTCTCTCTCTCTCTCTCTCTCTCTCTCTCTCTCTCTCTCTCTCTCTCTCTCTCTCTCTCTCTCTCTCTCTCTCTCTCTCTCTCTCTCTCTTTGTCACAATCATTAGCAATAAAATGTCAATTACTTTTCCCAGTATTCAATTCTGCCTCACGTCGTGATAACTTCTGCTTTTGCCCTCAGATTTTTAGAATGATGTCTTGGGACGAATCTCGGATTGTAGATCTGAAACTGAAACTTTTAGCTGATGATGAGTGGAAATTACATAAACTAAATATGAAGTACTACAAGAATGAGTGTACAGATGAGCATAATAATCCCAGGTATGTAGTAACGATGGTAACTAGTAGAGTTTAACTATGGTAACTAGTAGTGTAACTATGGTAACTAGTAGTGTAACTATGGTAACTAGTAGTGTAACTATGGTAACTAGTAGTGTAACTATGGTAACTAGTAGTGTAACTATGGTAACTAGTAGTGTAACTATGGTAACTAGTAGTGTAACTATGGTAACTAGTAGTGTAACTATGGTAACTAGTAGTGTAACTATGGTAACTAGTAGTGTAACTATGGTAACTAGTAGAGTGTAACGATGGTAACTAGTAAAGTGTAACTATGGTAACTAGTAGTGTAACTATGGTAACTAGTAGTGTAACTATGGTAACTAGTAGTGTAACTATGGCCCAGTGGCAAATAGTCAGGCGTCCAGGAATTTAACACCTAGTCAAAATTTGTTGATAACCGGTAAAAAAAGATTCTTGTGGAAAAAATATTCACATTAATTTAAAATTAAATCAAAATTGGTCGCTCTCAGGGCTAACGCGATGTTACATCATTTTATCGACTCGAAGTTCGAATCGAGCGCATTCCTAGATTCCATGACTATTTCTTACCTATAAGATTGCTTGACTATTTTTTGCGCATTCAGACACCAAAAAACGCGCAGAAAACGCGAGCTATCCATTCCTCCTTCCTCAACATCCCGGAATATGAAAAAATAGTCATGTAAAATAGTCATTTGAAATAGTCATGCAAAATTTCAGCTCTGATACGCTAAAATATCAAGTTAATCTTAAACAATCGACAATCTAATATGAATCCTCCCAATCCTCCCAGCCATATTAACTGGTGAACGGTGTAAATATAGAGCGGTATTTTAAAATGTAGCATTCAAAATTTTATGGATTCAAGTTGGCTCCTTTAGTCTAGATTCATTTAGAAAATTCTCGAAGTTCGAGTAATACAGTATTCTCAGGGTTTGGCGCTTAAGGAAGCTTCACATCCGAGACCGATTTCCACGAATCAATTTAATATTGTAGCTACAAGTCAACAACAGTGCAAGTGGGAAGGAAGTGAATCTAGCCATTGCTACTATATCAGGGGAACTCGTGTCTTCTAGGCTTAAGCAAGCTTCACATCCTAGATCATCTAGAGTACAGTGCAGACAACCCCCTCCATTATACATCCCTATCCCGCTTTAAGTCCTAAGTTTATCATTGTTTATTGTCCAATGTTGTATTTAACCTGGCAGAAGCAAGCTTCTGATCCAAAGTCAGGCCATAAATATCGACACAAGGTCGAAGCCACTTTCAGAGTAGCGAATCGTTCATCATGCTGATGAGAGTCAATTTTTAGAACTCGATCTTCCGAGTTAGGAAGAAGGATAGTATGAAAAAATTTGTATGCTAGGCTGTATACTTCTTTTAAAAAATATTTCCTTGCGTTTCAAATAAATTAAAGAATTCTCAGAAATTTTTTATTTAATTTCAAAATTTGCAATTGCATATTCATCCGGTAATTATTCTAATGGATACGCTAAGCATTTCAAACTAATCTTGACCTGGGAGAAGAGCTGACCAGTGACAAGTCGGCCGCAAAGCGGCCGAAAAATATATAGCCTTTTTTTCTTCCCAAAATGGATTCCTAGTCATATTTAAAATTTATTCCACTGGGAACTATGGTAACTAGTAGTGTAACTATGGTAACTAGTAGTGTAACTATGGTAACTAGTAGTGTAACTATGGTGACAATCCCAGGTATGTAGAGTGTAGAGGGATGTTCTCAAGTATTGATATGCTTACTGACTGTCGCGTCGTGTTGGCAAATATTATAGTTTTTCAAATGACCTCCAGAATATCTTTTGAATGCATTGTTTATTGGGATTTAATAAATAAAATGCCGTTTTCTCAACTTAGTGTTGTGTAGAAATGTTTCCATCTTTTATTATTTGAATATTCCAGTGAGGATTCCGTTATGAAAAATGTATTTTTTGTGATATTACCAATTATTTCAGGTATGCCTGGATCTCAGCGTTAAATAACGATAAATACGTGTTACCAACTCTAGTCTTGGGCCACCTTCTCAACAACCTATCGTGCATCAGAAACAAAGTTGTTCTGGGTAATATATTGTCTTTTTTGGCTTTGTTGTGATGTTTTAGAGCAGTTAATTCCCTTGTCCATTGTTAATGGACACTTACCCGCTACTTCCTAGCACTTGCCTTCATAGCACTTACCTCGGGCTAATATTTCGAGAAGAAAGCGGCGCGCGCTACTTCGAAGAAATTTAGACGTCAAAACATCCGTCAAAGTTTCCTTCCGTCACATAAACGGAATTATCAGACATCTTGAACTCTTAATTCTTTCTTATTGAATCGTATCGAGTTATTTATTTACATAATTTTTCACTTCGCTCAGTGATAAAACACTTGCGGAGTTTCATTATTTCCACAATTTCAGTTTCGCATAAAGTTTCTAGGATGGGGATACTAGCTTTGGAATCTGTTGGGTTTCAGGTAAGCCATATTATTCTAGTTCTGAATGGAAGGATAATAAGATAAGTAGGATTGAAGTGTCAGTATTTATATTCTCCATGTAATGTACTTTACTTACTCTCCCTACTTGTGTCTGTACTTGACAGTTTCTACCTTACAGTGCTACAGATAAACTGATACACGACTATATACTAACAACTGACAACTGGTTACCAATTACCATGGTAACACGACTAACAACTGATAACTGGTTACCATGGTAACACGACTAACGGCTGACAACTGGTTACTATGGTAACACGACTAACGGCTGACAACTGGTTACTATGGTAACACGACTAACGGCTGACAACTGGTTACCATGGTAACACGACTAACGGCTGACAACTGGTTACCATGGTAACACGACTAATAACTGATAACTGGTTACCATGGTAACACGACTAACAACTGATAACTGGTTACCATGGTAACACGACTAACAACTGATAACTGGTTACCATGGTAACACGACTAACGGCTGACAACTGGTTACCATGGTAACACGACTAACGGCTGACAACTGGTTACCATAGTAACCGACAGTCTGTCCCTGACAGCTAAGGGCTGACTGACAGACGACAGAGTTTATGAAATGCAGTATGAAGGGAAACATGCTGTTACCATCTAGTTACTGTTGCTGTTTGTCATCTAGCTCACGGGTGCTGGACAATTCACAATTTATAACTAGTTTAAAGAGAGGTCTAAACTCTATACAGTTTGCTGACGTAATGATATAATTAATAGACAATAAAATAAATATACGATCCCCCGGCCCCTGTTGCTATAATACGATCCCCCGGTCCCTGTTGCTATAATACGATCCCCGGCCCCTGTTGCTATAATACGATCCCCCGGCCCCTGCTGCTATAATACGATCCCCCGGCCCCTGTTGCTATAATACGATCCCCCGGCCCCTGTTGCTATAATACGATCCCCGGCCCCTGTTGCTATAATACGGTTCACGTACTGTAGTACGACACGTACTGTAGTGCGACACGTACCCTAGTGCGAAACCTCCAAGATCGACACTGTCGCAGTAGAGTACGCTACCTGGATCGTAGTGCGACACGTACCCTAGTGCGACAGAGAATTTTCAAGGCCGACACTGTCGCACTACAGTGCGCTACCTGGACTGTAGTGCGACACGAACTAAAGTGCGACAAAACACTTTACACATTCAATAAAATTACTTTCCATTTTTAAGTTTTAATGAGAAGAGTGTAGTCGTGTATGAGTAATGGGGTTAAATATAAAATCAAAGATTACAATCACAATATTCAATTCAAAATCATTGTTCCAACACACTTCAAATAATCCATTCTGTCATAATCATAGTAGCTATCAATCACAGCGTTCAAGCGGCGGTCGTAATAGGTCCACTTCTTCAGTCGGCGAGGAGGTGGTTGTCTGAGCATCTTCTGGTTGATCTTCCATTGGGTTAGATCCTGCTCCGACGAGCAGTCCGAGGTAGAATCCCAAAGAAAGAAGGTGATTGAAGAAGACATGTTGAAGTTGTTCAATGCTTTGGTAGAATCATCGTGACCTTATATATGGCCCAAGCATATGAACTTGTTATCCCAATCAGAGATATACCTTCATACGATGCGTGTGATGGGAATGAGGATCATATGCTGCTTACCAGTTACCCGGTGGATCACACACTGCATACGTGGCTTGAACTGACCCGAAGAAATTGTGATCAGTGGATCACTTCGAAACACGTGATGTGAACCGACGAATCGTATTCGCAAGATCACTTCGAAATAAGTGACGTGAACCGACCCGACGAATCACTTAATGGTCCATAAGAAGGATAGGATGTGACCTGAACTTGGAAATAAGTCAGGATATTTTGTCGCAGTAGAGTACGCTACCTGGATCGTAGTGCGACACGTACCCTAGTGCGACAGAGGGTGTTTTTGTCGGACTTCGCACTAGAGTACGTGTCGTACTAGAGTACGTGTCGCACTACAGTACGATTACCCTATAATACGATCCCCCGGTCCCTGTTGCCATAATACGATCCCCCGGCCCCTGTTGCTATAATACGATCCCCCGGCCCCTGTTGCTATAATACGATCCCCCGGCCCCTGTTGCTATAATACGATCCCCCGGCCCCTGTTGCTATAATACGATCCCCCGGCCCCTTTTGCTATAATACGATCCCCCGGCCCCTGTTGCTATAATACGATCCCCCGGCCCCTGTTGCTATAATACGATCCCCCGGCCCCTGTTGCTATTATAATACGATCCCCGGCCCCTGTTGCTATAATACGATCCCCGGCCCCTGTTGCTATAATGGGGGGGGGGTCCAAGGGGAACTTTGGGGAACTTTGGGAAAGTCCCCCAAGATTTCTGAAGTTCCCCCAAAAAAAGTTCCCCAAAACTCCCCAAAGTTCCCCAAAATTCCCCAAAATTATTCAAAATTATTTAAAATTATTCAAAATTATTCAAAATTATTCAAAATTATTCAAATTTTTTCTAATATACATTAATACCCATTAATGTTAACATGTATGTTATTATAAGGTATAATCTTAACTTACTTGTTGATACTTGCAGCATGATAATTTGTTTGGCATTATAATTTTTTTGGGGAACTTTGGGGAACTTTGGGGAATTTTGGGGAACTTTCTGAAGTTCCCAAAAAAAAAGTTCCCCAAAATTATTTGTTTCATTGATAATTTTTTGGGGAACTTTGGGAAAGTCCCCCAGGTTTCCTGAAGTTCCCCAAAAAAAAGTTCCCCAAAACTCCCCAAAGTTCCCCTTGGACCCCCCCCCCCCCCCCCCCCCTATAATACGATCCCCCGGTCCCTGTTGTTATAATACTATCCACCAGGTAGAGGTAACAGAAGGGCTGGACTGTAACTTCATGGACAGATTGTACGGTAGACCTGAGGCTAATAAAGGTATCACTGGGACTCATACTCGGCTACTAGTCTTCAACCTCACTCGCTTTGACAAGGTAGGATAATTATTGTAACCTGGTAAGTTCTTGTGTTAAACATCAACATCTATTGTTATTGCTCCCACAAGTAAAAATAGGCTCAGAAATTCGCTTAAAAAGCGAATTCTTCCGTCTTGATGGCGGAATGAATATTATACTTTACTCTTCAGGTAATATACCTGGCATTTAAGGTAATATACCTGATATTTCAGGTAATATACCTGATATTTCAGGTAATATACTTGGATAGCGACTACTTTCCAACTACTCCACTGGACAGCTTGTTTGAACAGGTTGAGGCTAACAAACTGACTGCTGCTTACTGCTCAAAACCTGGGGTTGTGGATCCTTGCTTTAACGCAGGTTAGTAGAGGTAACTTTGATAACTAGTAGTGTAACTATGGTAATTGGTAACTAGTAGTGTAACTATGGTAACTAGTAGTGTAACTATGGTAACTAGTAGTGTAACTATGGTAACTAATAGTGTAACTATGGTTATTGGTAACTAGTAGTGTAACTATGGTAACTAGTAGTGTAACTATGGTAACTAATAGTGTAACTATGGTTATTGGTAACTAGTAGTGTAACTATGGTAACTAATAGTGTAACTATGGTAATTGGTAACTAGTAGTGTAACTATGGTAACTAATAGTGTAACTATGGTAATTGGTAACTAGTAGTGTAACTATGTTAACTAGTAGTGTAACTATGGTAACTAATAGTGTAACTATGGTAATTGGTAACTAGTAGTGTAACTATGTTAACAGTTTCTCTCTCTCTCTCTAGGACTAGTAGGTATGGTACCAGACCCACTGATTTACCAGGAGGTTATGGAACACTGGAAACAGCTCTCCGCAACTAGTTGTCCAGATGACCAGCGACTGCTGTGGTATCACTTCTCTAACAATGATAACTGGATACCCTTATCTTACAGGTAAAAACTCAAATTAATTGAATTTTTGATTTGAAACTTTTACAAAATAGCAAATTATATACATTATACATAATATGTACAGCAAATCGAACAAACATATAAAAATGAGCCGAAATGCATATATCATGCTAAAAAGCGTGGGTCAGTGATACAAAATATACAGAGGGCAACTATCAAAACAGGAGTTCTATGGCCGCCCAAAGTCTCAATGACATCACTCCCACCTAGGACTAAAATAATGAAATGTGAGAAGTGTGAAAACAATCGAATAATATTGTATGTAAAAATTCTATGTAAATGTAATTGTTGTTTTAAGTTGTTAATTGTGCTGCAAACTTAATGAATTTTAGCTGAATTTTTTAATTAGATTATTAACCTGCATATTATCAGTTTACATGTGTGTTAAACAGGGGTTAAACACTTGTTTGTTGTTAAACAGGGGTTAAACTGCGTTAAATATGTGTTAAAAACGTGTGTTAAACTGCGATAAATCTGTTTGTGCTACGAACTAGCGCGCGCCGGGTCAGTCCATTAACAATGGACAAAATGTGATCCTGAATAATATTCCGATTGTGTTAAATCTGAATAAGTTATGTATAGAGGACTAACTTAGTTACGCTAACTCATTTGTTACTTCAGCTACAACGTAAGACGAGAGCGCTATTTTCCGATGAAGAGCTTCCACTTCGCTGGCCACGGTCGCGAACCAAGGCCATGGGACTGGAAAGACCGCCCTTCGGACGCCGAACTCCTGGCTTACGACAGACAAATGGACTCCGTGATGGATATAATTTCACTGTGGTGGAAGTATTTGTTGGTCGTTGTCAGAGACAACGAATTAAACGAGTTTTGGGAGAGTGTTAAATACCTTACACTTTAGTTTTAGAAGTAGAACAGGAGGGTAGTTAATTTTTGCCCCACGCTGTCGTTATATATATATATATATATATATAATATATATTACGCGGCCACTAACAAAGAGTCGATGTTTGGATTGTGATAAGTGTGTTGTGATTTTGGTGTAACTTTTTGTTGGTGTCTTATTTGATTTTATTTTTAGACATGTCGATAGTGGATACATATGCAGTAACTCTGGTGATATAACCTTGCAATTGTATCCTTGTATTTCTGTATAATTGTTTTTCTTTCGAATTCACTAATAAAAGTGTCAGATGCCGAATAGTTCTATGCGTGCTTTGAAATATTATTTCTTCACCTACCCACGTGCTCACGCGTACTACGAGACGCGCTTGTTTTACAAGCAACAAGTATGTAATTTGCCGCCGTATGGTGGTTGGTGGCTCTGGTTAGAGCAGATTATTTCTATTTGATCTTTTTTCAGTACCGTTTATTTAATATGTAAACTCTTTTAATATGTAAATGTTTACTAATAATATCATATAAAAGTTGAATTATCGAAGTTACAATGAAAAAGAACTGTTTTACCCTGTTTATGTTTACCTACCTTTGAGCTTGCTAGTACAGTCTATTGCTCGCTTTCTTACGTATAGGATAAGGAAGCTCAAAGAGCGCCGCGCACATGACAGTGATAACCTGGGGACCACAGGCTATAATGTTCAGAAACATAGAGATTCGGCGGAATGATAGGCTGTTCGCCGCCCAGTAAGGCGTGCCAGGCAAGGTTTTTGGTTAAAGTATTATGTTAATTTATAAGAGACGGTACCATACGTGATGAGTATTGAGTTTGAGTTGCGTCGTCAGTCTTGCTCTAACCATGCAGAGCCCTGATCTCTCTAGCCTTGCAGTAGCGCGTCACGCAGTACGAGTAGACTCATGCATCATGGCTATGTGAATCGTCGCGTCAGTCGTACGTGCCGTATGGTTATTGGCTAAGACCTCAGACCACGACACGTGATCAACGGGTGATACTCTTAACATATTTTTACGCAATACCGTCGACGAATGCAATACAACTGACAACATGACTCGCGGCGCGCGTTTTGATTGGTTATAAGCCTACAAATCACCACACATTATTTACTGGGCGGCGCTCAGCCTGTCATTCCGCCGAATCTTTATTCGGGCTGAGTGAATTACGACCTCCATCGCCCTTTGACATACGTTGCATGCCACTTTTCGCGCGCGAAGCGCGCGCCGCCGAAGGCGGAAAAATCAGATAATATCTCTGATATTTGGATACGAAACATGTATCAAATCGCCCTGAAAAAAGTGCGAATGCTCATAGGATGTTAGAGCGCACGTGACTAGCATTCACGTGATCGTTCAGAACCATTTACAGCCGCGCAATTCAAAAGATCACGTGCACGTCAAGATGATGATTAATCACTACACTCGACTGTCACGTGACTTTTTCAATTCAACCCATTCTCTAGCTGGCCCTGAACGACTATTCGAAATTTTGATTCACGATGTCAATCCTTCGCATCTCGCCGATCTGCACACCCTCTAATCTGATCCCAACCCTAACCCTAACCCAATCCCTAACAAAAGCATATGCTGAAATCCTAACCCTAACGATAAATTAGACTAACTTCCTTATCACTTATACAGTCATATCACGTGATTGACGGATGTTACTCGTCTAAATTTCTTCGAAGTAGCGCGCACGAGCTACGAAGTAGCGCGCGCCGGGCCAGATCATTAACAATGGTCAAATCACGTGATCGAGATCGAAACAGTTTTTCGTCAATATCTCGTCAGGGAAGTATTTTACCTTTATGTCGTCTGTCGTGGGGGTGATTCGGAATTAGCGTCCGAAAATACATCTATTGAAGTTGGTTTCAACTTGACCATTGTTAATGATCTGGCCCGGCGCGCGCTACTTCGTAGCTCGTGCTTCGAGAAGAAAGTGGCGCGCGCTACTTCGAAGAAATTTAGACGAGTAACATCCGTCAAGTTTCAACTGTCGGGGGCCCTCATAGAACAATCTCGAAGATCGACTATATAGTGATTTAGCACGCTCGTGCACGTCAACTACTAATTGGAAAAAAGTGACGTATGCGCTATACTACAAGAGCCGCGCGCTGAGTTAGATTGTAAAATCTGATTATTTGATTGTAAAATCGCATAAACGCTTCTACTTGCGCGTTTTAGAGGGTTCAATTACGCCAGGCTAATATGTTTATGAACATAATAGTTTGGGGTCCCCTTACCTGGGGACCTCAGCTAGGCTATCATAATCGAATAGAGAGTAGGCGGAATAATAGGCTGTTCGCCGCCCAGCAAGGCGTGCCAGGCAAGGTTTTTGGTTAAAGTATTATGTTAATTTATAAGAGACGGTACCATACGTGATGAGTATTGAGTTTGAGTTGCGTCGTCAGTCTTGCTCTAACCATGCAGAGCCCTGATCTCTCTAGCCTTGCAGTAGCGCGTCACGCAGTACGAGTAGACTCATGCATCATGGCTATGTGAATCGTCGCGTCAGTCGTACGTGCCGTATGGTTATTGGCTAAGACCTCAGACCACGACACGTGATCAACGGGTGATACTCTTAACATATTTTTACGCAATACCGTCGACGAATGCAACACAACTGACAACATGACTCGCGGCGCGCGTTTTGATTGGTTATAAGCCTACAAATCACCACACATTATTTACTGGGCGGCGCTCAGCCTGTCATTCCGCCGAATCTTTATTCGGGCTGAGTGAATTACGACCTCCATCGCCCTGAAAAAAGTGCGAATGCTCATAGGATGTTAGAGCGCACGTGACTAGCATTCACGTGATCGTTCAGAACCATTTACAGCCGCGCAATTCAAAAGATCACGTGCACGTCAAGATGATGATTAATCACTACACTCGACTGTCACGTGACTTTTTCAATTCAACCCATTCTCTAGCTGGCCCTGAACGACTATTCGAAATCTTGATTCACGATGTCAATCCTTCGCATCTCGCCGATCTGCACACCCTCTAATCTGATCCCAACCCTAACCCTAACCCAATCCCTAACAAAAGCATATGCTGAAATCCTAACCCTAACGAGAAATTAGACTAACTTCCTTATCACTTATACAGTCATATCACGTGATTGACGGATGTTACTCGTCTAAATTTCTTCGAAGTAGCGCGCACGAGCTACGAAGTACCGCGCGCCGGGCCAGATCATTAACAATGGTCAAATCACGTGATCGAGATCGAAACAGTTTTTCGTCAATATCTCGTCAGGGAAGTATTTTACCTTTATGTCGTCAGTCGTGGGGGTGATTCGGAATTAGCGTCCGAAAATACATCTATTGAAGTTGGTTTCAACTTGACCATTGTTAATGATCTGGCCCGGCGCGCGCTACTTCGTAGCTCGTGCTTCGAGAAGAAAGTGGCGCGCGCTACTTCGAAGAAATTTAGACGAGTAACATCCGTCAAGTTTCAATACAAGTTTCAATACAACTGTCGGGGGCCCTCATAGAACAATCTCGAAGATCGACTATATAGTGATTTAGCACGCTCGTGCACGTCAACTACTAATTGGAAAAAAGTGACGTATGCGCTATACTACAAGAGCCGCGCGCTGAGTTAGATTGTAAAATCTGATTATTTGATTGTAAAATCGCATAAACGCTTCTACTTGCGCGTTTTAGAGTATATTAGCATCGATAGTCAAAGTTAATATATACAAAATAACATAAAAATAAAATATACCCAATAGAGCACATAACATATGACGAGACAGAAGACAGGACAACAAATTTTCCCCGTTACCTCTATTATTTTTTTATAAAATTATTCAAACAATATACACATAATATAGCAATGACCCTATATAAAAACAAACCTTTAAGAATATAAAAAATTCCCTAAACACTCAAAAATTACCCTTGGCCTTGTGGCTCCAAGTTAAGATCTAGACTGTTTATATTAACAATGTTTTTATCTCGCACCTCTGTCTCCACGGAGAGAAATCACCTCTATTATTTTTACTGATGATAACATACCTAGAAAACATACCAGTTGCAACACGGTGTTGTTGAGCCGATATTCCCATGGAACTTTTAAGTATATTATTAACAGAATTGTGTCTCGCCATTGTGTTTTGTTAGGTATTGTGCTATAATATGAAGTAACATATATTATGTTAAAAAAAAAAAAAGGGGGGACCCCCAACCCATGTAGCTGAGACACCTCACAGCAAGTTGACCAAAGTGGCTCTTGCTTGTGATCGGTGCATCAACTACCCGCCGAAGCGGTGGGTTGGGAGTCCCCCCTGGGATCATTTCGTCCGTAAAATTGTATACAATATAAAATAGTACAGTAAAATATCTACAAAATTTACATAAACAAATCTAGGAGACCTCAAAGCTCGTCTTCTGGGGAATGAGGTTGAAGGATACGTCTTGCAGTTCAAGATGCTGGGCTGTTGATCTTCCTCTGATTCCCCTCAGTGCAATGAGTGTACTTCTTAACAGATCAAATCTGAATCGTGTTCTGATATGATTTTTGACTTGGCTCTTGGCTTCTTTTTTGTGGTCAGCTATCATCTCAGAGACACGATCTACAAACACTGTGCAGAGCGGTCCCATACCTCCGGAGGTTGTGAAGACTAAAGGGACAAAGGATCCCTTCTCCGACTGAAGTACTCTCTCTTCATAAAAATCTTTCTTTTCTTTCTCATGATCTCTATAGATCTTATCTATATTATGTTATCACTTCGTTTGAATACATATAATAAATAACATCCAAATGATCAGATCCAATAGGATACTGATGCAGACAATGAAAAATTGAAATATTGAATTTAATTACCACATCAGTATCCCAATGGATTTAATTACTTTGAGTGTATAATTGAGTGCCACCACTGGCATCCCAGCCTTGGGGCTGGGATGAATATCATAAAAGCCCCTATTGTCACACTTAGGAAATAATCTCTCGTTTCTGTTTCCATAGCGGTCTAAGAAAGCCCTAAAAACATCAAGGTAAAACAGTTTATGCCTAGAGCAGCGATCAAAGATCAAATTATTCATAGCACAAACATTACCAGGGATTTTATCTTGTCCGTTAGGGTGGACTGGTGGAATAGCTTGTACAAAAACACGTGCATTTGGATAAAGTGTTTTTGCTGTCTTTATAAGGTCACTCACAGGGGTCTTGAGATGATTGACACCCTGGGTAGTGACCTTATAAGTAGTGGAGTAGTGTGCACCCCTGCAGATTTCGTCGATTTCAG